AGAGAGAGGGGGGGGGGCAGACTTGTGGTCAAGACTTGAAGTATAACGGGATGTTTTGCTTAGTGTTGTTAGTCTGATCAAGGACACGTATTTGCATGTCACCAGTAATAGGGAGGTCATCGTGTGTGTCAAGAGTTGCCCTTTAGCCAAACTATAATTATATTCACTCCTAAGCTCTGGGTCGCGGGAAGGGGGTAGTTACTGGTAGGTGGTGATCTAAGTAGCCAATAGGCTACCCTTACGAGTCACCGAATAGTTAGGGATTCCTAGAAGGCCACTTCCTATAATGTAGTGTACCGTGGACTAGATGTTAAGGAAGCCCACCTGTTACGTGAGCTTATAATAATTACATGTGTATTTTTTTTTATGTTTGTGAAGCATCGTGGTGAAATCAGGCGCTCATCAATATACGGAAAACGAAGATATCGGATTTTCCCCATCGGTTAGGCAATTTTTATCGAATTTCTGGGGTGAGGGGGGGGGGGGGCTTTTTGACATAACACCTTTTATATCCTTTTAAAACAAATGTCTGTGATTATTTTACTGGAGAGTGTTGATTAAAGGTATGCAAAATGTAAATTTTCAGCTTCCATGGACTCTCAAGCTATGGAAAAAACCAAACCTTGGCGGCCATTTCCTGGCTAATTTTACCTCTGAACCCAGCGACCCTCACCTTCTTCAATCGCAAATATTTCGACTTTTATTCAAGATAGATTGGTACTTTTTAAAAATCGCAAACAAGGAAAATGAATAAGCTTTAAGGTGATAATAACTTAAGGGCTTGATTCCACCGCGTAGTGAGCTTAAATCATTACGAGACACGCCCCGTATCGTTTGAAAAAAATCTACTGCCTAAGTGTTTTTACACCCTCACCGACACAATTTAGATAATTTAGAAAATCAGGAATCGAACTAGGGTTTCCTGCGTGTGACGGCAAAGCGCGTAACCGCTACACCACATACACCGCCCTAACGAAGACAATACAAAGAAAGAACAAGAATGTAAAAGCTCATTCATCTGTTAAGTCCATATTTCATTATCAGTGTGTTACCAAGTATTTGGAATTTCGTCTTGAATAGAAAAGTTTTAAAAAACAGTGTGCCATGGCACTGACCCCCACTTGCCTACCAAGCTTTAATTGCCTGAACTTTCTACACAGGACACCAATGAGAATTGGTTGTTTTGCGTAAGTTTTCTTGAAAATGCATTTCCTATTCGTGAATAAGTGTGAATTATTGCGTGCACGCGCGGTGTGTGTGTGTGTGTGTGTGTGTGTGTGTGTGTGTGTGTGTGTGTGTGTG